CATCGATTCAATGATAAGAATATTCCCAAAACACGAGTTCTACAATTCTAGAATATTTTCGACTTGATTATCGCTTGAAAATAAAAATCCTTTATTCCTTTATTTTTGCTTTATTTTCTAACGATAAATGATTTCTTTATCTTTAGTTTCTAAAAACTAAATGATTCATTTATCTTTAGAAAATAAAGTTTAATGATTGAAAAAAAAATTTATCATTTATTTTCTAAAGATAAATGAATCATTTATCTTTATTTAGCAAAGTAACACTAAATGACCACCTCTAAATAGAAACACTAATTTCTCTCTCTTTTTTCTATGCTGCTATTTTCAATAAAATAAGAAAAGTAATTATTATTGACATTCTCTTTAAAATATTCAAGTTATACAATGCTTGCTGCTATACGCTATCGCGTTAGTCAATCAGTCAATATCCTTCAAGCAACTATTGTACGTCTTGGCTTTTGTACGCACAATTTAATAGCAACGTATTTTCTTTATGATGATATAAAAGATTATTGGTGTTTACTTAATTTATCTGGAACCATATTTTTAATTATTGAACTTGCTGTTACCATCATTGAACGACAAGGTCTTGAACCAAAATGGTAGTACCTCATTCATAGATGGATCGAATTTAGCTGTTAATGATGTATGGATATTATTGATTCGTTTCTTTTTTTTTGTTTTTATTTATAGGTTTTCACCGTCATTTCTGATTTTTATTCTTACATCAATGCCAAGTTTATGGTTACTCGAAGTGCGTCGTGTAGCTCAACGACGGCTAGCCTTTAGCACAAATGATAACGAATCGAATACAGAATCTTTTGATCAATTTATATTTCGTATGGGCACTGACGAAATTGTTCCTAGTCAAGCTTTACCCCATAATATTCTCACGAAAACGGTATGATATCGACATATGTTTGTCTTTTTGTGAAATGAAATGCTATTTTAATTTATTTCTATTAGCTTCGTATCAATGTAAATTCGGAAACAAAAATCATGGGTCTTGAATTGTCACTTCTTCTTTTAATTATTATTGGTCGTTGGCTATTACCAAAAGGTGCAACAAGTCGTTCAAATTTATCACAACTCCTTCTCGTTTATATGTCAATTGCATCGGATATTGTCGATTTATTAACAATATTTAATGAACATCAAGTTCTTAGTTCACAACGAATGCTTGTCGCTATATTAGTTGTTTTATCATGGTCATTATTACAATTCGCTACAAACATGACAGCAGCGAATAAGAATGCTCGTTCAACAGCTTTAGATAATTTTCGTTTTAGCATAAAAAAACGGCAACGTAGTCGAATGTTGTTCTTGTATCTCATGCAACGTTTATTTGAAAATGATGCATGGGATTTGCATGAATTAAATCTAATGAGTTGTTCAGCTGTACAATTAGCTTTGCGACTTGTTGCTGTTATTAAATTTGAAGTACGAAGTTATTCGATATTATTTTTTACATGTAAAAATAGTATTATTCTGTTTTTACAAGTATATCGTGTTGTCGCTATCATAACAGAAAACAATAACAATGATCTTGGACCAATATATGAAACAACATTCAATAATGATCAACAGCAATCACGAACAGGAACTAGTAGTATAAAAACGAAAAATGAATGCGGCTCACGATTTTCTATTGAAGAAGACATGTAATTAACTATGTAATTATTTTATTCTATCTATAACAATCAGTGACTACATTTTTATTTTCAAATGACAACAAATTAACAAAGACAAAGACAGAACGAAAGATAACATCATAACAAAAACGTTATTCTACAAATATTTGATCTTCTCCAATTGTATTCAATATCTATATGCATAATATAATTATATTGTGTGCGTGTATCTTTAAATAGTTTTGATTTAGATAAGATCGAACTGAAATAAATAAATAAAATCATAGAGAATTAAAATTTGAAAAAAAAAGAATTTGTTTTGTTTTCAACTTACAAGATCTTCGTCGTCACCATCCTGTTCATTTGTTGTTCCTGCATTATTAATATTTTCAACTGGTGTTTCTTCTTCAAGAAATTTATTGGCTTCGACCGGTATGACATTTGATTCAACGCATTCTTCACTTGTAATTAAACTGAATTTTTCTAAAGATAAAATTTAAATTGATAAACAAAATTCTCATTCAGCTGACCAATTAAAAACTTTTGAATAATTGGTAAAATTCGATTTCTAACAATCGATTACTATTCGAATTTTCTCAAGTAAAGATATGTAAACGAAATGTAAGAAGATTAGAAAAACTGAATGAACACGAATTTATATTCCGTAGTGCTTCGATCATTCTCACAGAATTATATAATTATAGTTCGTATAAGATTAGGGCTTGATCAATCGAAAATTCTACTAATTACTATATGATGGAAAGAATATTCCATTTACAACAGAAAGACATAAATCAGAGACAGTCCAAAACTAACTTAAGAGCGTAAGTAAAGCGAGCATCTATATTCATATTTTTAATTTCAGAAAAAAATATACCATCAATAATTTTCTGCCAGAAGTCTTTTCGTCCATCCATAGTTGATGCTTGTCGTTTAAGTAGTATTTCTAAATCATTGAAAACTTTTGGTTCTAATTTATTTATGCATGTTTCACGTAAACATTGTAAACATTGAAAAGCTTTTTCAAATAATGCATCAGCATGTGAATTATGAACAAGTTCAAGTATAATATTGCACATTTGTTTTGATACTTCAGAAAATGAGGGTGAACCTTGTTCGATTAATAATTTGAAGTCTTCAACTGGTGTTAATGTACCAATATTGCGTAAAGCTGCTTTCTTTTTAGCTGCTGCTTGAGATTCAAATGATCCTGAGTCAGCTGGTGCTGCTGTTGAATCAGCTGTTGGTTCTTCGACATTTTCATTTTCATCAAGACGTCGTTTCGTTGAACTATGAAAAACAAAATTAAGAATTATTTTGTTTAGGAATTATTCATTACGTGCTGTTTCCTACCTATCAATGTTACCAAAAAGTGCATCACCAGTAGTAATTTTTTGTCGACGATCGGTATCACGAAGACCAAATTTTTCATAAATCGTATTTAATACTCGTTTACTTTTAGAAGCTACTGATCGTAATAACGTTTCGTTCATTTCCATAATTGTATTCGATAACGATAATGGTTCATCAGGTGTTACAGCACGTCGAGCAATTGACTAAAATTAATTCATATTAAGAAAAGCAAAAAAAACTGAAGAACAAAGGAAAATAACGAACTTGAAACATTCGTTGAACATATGGATTAAAAACAACTTCTGGTCGAAATGCTTCATCACCACTAGAAAATCAAATCAACATAGAACCTTTTCATTTATTTTAGTTTATCAAATGTTCACCCTCGATCAGCATGTGTTAAATCCATTGTTGTTATTAAATTATCAATACATTTTAATTGTTCCTCATTCAGTTGATTTCGTTTTGTTATATCAAGATTGTCAAATTCAAATTCACGTAAGTCTTCAGCAAATGGTAATTTTATATAATACATACACTAAAATAAAATAGATTTACAGTCTTTCTTTTAACCCATAGAAACGGATTTTTCTACGCACAATATGATCATGTGCGATATGTGGACGTAAAAATCCAATTTCTGGTGCACTTCGTTCACTAAAACATTTGCGCACAATGGCGACTGTGTTGGTTTCATACATCGCTTGAACAAGACCAGCAAATGCTTGAGCTTCTTCCTAAAAATTTAAATTTCAATAATCAAAAAAATACAATTGACATATAGGATAGTTTGTGTGGTCGAGACTAGGTAGCTACGTGTCTGCCGTATAAATAAGATTATTAGTGAATTATTACTGCATAGAAACTATCTGTGATTATGATAATCTGTGTTTTAGATACAAATAATTGAGATCTATAATTCTTAGAACAATTTGACTGATTTTTTCTAGATACTCACGTACTGAGAGAACAAAGTTGTACATCCCTGTTCAATTGCAAGGACAGATCATTTTCTTATAATGTTGTTACGAGAGTTATTAACTTGAAAAAGATTTTTTTATACATTTTTCGAAAGAGACGACATGTGCATATATTTTTAATCGATTGCTAAAGAATATACGGTACTCATTATTTGTGTTCTGAACTTATTCAGTTTCCCATTGGTATTACCTTTCAATGTTTAACAGTTAACCTCATCCTTTATAAAAATTTCATCTTAAATACAAAAAACGATTTCTATATGATACAGATTGTGATCAATTCTTTTCGTACACGAATATTTAGATAAGATAATTCTCACGTATTATATATTCATTAAAATCTTCACTTACTTCAAAACCTGGTTCAGAAATGACCTCATAGACCGTATCGCCCAAGTAAATACTTCTTCGCATCTATTGGAGAAGAAATTTACATTATTTAAAATAATAGAGGCGAGATTGAAAAATTATCTATCGTACCATATTAGCATCCGAAAATGCAATAATTGCAAAACATTTTTCACTTTGATATTTCATTTCGTCAAGTGTTTCTTTATTAATAGGTACAAATGTAGTACCATAACGAAAGCCATCTGTTAATTCTTCTTTTTCAATCTCTTGATCTTGTTCGTCTTTTGTATAACGACCACGGTCAACTTTGATTTCTGTTGTTGGATCACGTGCATAGACTTTTTTCAAACGAAATATTGCTGGCTTATTATCTTTAACCTAAGAAAACAAAATTCGAATAAAATCTGTTGGACAAAGTATTTTGGTTTTTCTCTCAACCTGAATATAAGTACAAATATGTAATTTAAGATCAGCTAATTGCATAATATATTTTGTTGCTGTTGGTTTAACAAGTTTTGCTTGATGAACACTGAGAATAGTCAATGCTTCACTATAAATAATAAATAGGAGAAATATTTGTGCGAATATTTTATTATTTTTATATCCTACCGAAATGTAAATAAGGTTCCGTCTGTTGTATTAACAATCTCACCAATAACTCGTATACCCGTTTGTTGCTGCTGTGTTAACGGTTTTTTTGGAGTTCGATGTTGATGTCCATTGGTTGTTGGACGATTAGCATCAGAGTTTTCATCACCATTTTCATGTCCATTCATGTCCATAGGTGCACCAGGATGATTGTTTTCTTCATTATCATCTTCTTCATCTTGTTGACCCCATGTAGGTCCAATAGCATCAACAATAATATCTTGACGTCGAAGTGAATCAAGAATTGTTTTAAGACTATGATCATTGAATGTTGTCGCAGCATTCGAGAATAACATGACACGTTTAGCAGCAAAACCATGTTTTCCTCTAAAAGACGACAAGCTCATGATATTTGTTTTTTTCGTAAACTTGAATTTTATTTGCTCACTCAGTTTCACGACGAAGATGATCAGCAGCAACAACAATAGCATCAACCACTAAATTTTGAAAAAAAAATTTCAATAGTTGACAAACATATATATCCAGGGACTCCGATTTGGGGGGGGGGGGGGGGGGGCCCCCCCCAAAATT